AATGTGCAATGACTTGCTGATTTCGACTGCCGAGACTAACCACGAGGCTGTACAGTACAGCAGTAGGTTAGATTTGTAATTTTGTTTGGCTGAGGGCTAACCGAGAGACCTACCTGTAACGAAAATTCGTGAGCGACATATCTGCAAATATGGGAAAATAGGCCAAGCAGTACTTCGAATTTCCTACAGCTACCCTCACTGCGTTTAGCAGGCCCGGGCTACCCCTAGGACAGACAGGCCCTAAGGGTCTAAGCTGATAGACGGTCCTATAACCTATAGCTGGGTCCGGTAGAGGCCGACAGGCCGAAACAGAAACGGTACCGGTCGGTCAGTCAGTCCGGTCTAGGTCTAGGCTAGAGTAGTAGAAGTTTATTAATAGTTCAGGGGAATCGGTTTGGGACTTTTGGCAATTCATTTTGGCGATACAGCGTTTGGAGCCAGGAGAGTTTTGGAGCGGCGAATGTCTGCAGGCGGTACCCTGAGACCCTCACCGCGGACAGCAGCCATAGCCAGCCTGTTGGGGGCTTGCCATAGCTGGGGGCATCCTCTGCGCATCAACCCCTGTGGGTTCCTGCGAGGGGCTGGGCTGTGTGGAGACTCTTCACTGAGTCCTTGTGGGTGGCGACAGCCATAGCTGTCGGTTCTTCGCTAGAGTTGTTCAGCGGCACTAAAGACTTCACCGCAGGATCTGTTCTTCATCTGGGTGGTTGGTGCTGGCCTCTGGGAGGCCATTCTGATGTGGCGCTACTAACTGGGTGTAGGGTAGAGAGTGGAGTGTGAGGTTCTGAGACTAGCGAGACACAGGAACAAACTCTGTAACGATTTCTGGTTAATTGGCTCATCATCAGTGTGTATTCCGATTGTTATCCTCGCAGGTTCTTCCTTGTGATTGGTTGTTGGGAGTATCGTTAGAGAGTGAGAAACACTGTGTGTCTTCTCCCCATCTGTGCATGGCTGTGCTTCCGCTATCTACTCTGATCTGTGTGCAGTTTGGACTCTGTCTCCTCTCCCCCTTTTCTTATGCATGTATGGGCGTGTATGAGACTGTCTGTGTGTGAGTGGCGGTAAAAATCGTCAGACAACCAAGTTCATAACAGTTGGTATTAGAGCGAGATTGGAATTGGAGCACTGAGGGTTGAGTGCAACGGGCAGATTCTTCATCTGGCGAAATAGTGGCGAGAGCTTCATGGCGATTCATCTTCCCCAGTACTGAGTCAGCAGGGAAGAAGACTTCAAGCAGTGGATTCCGGAGTTCAGTGCTTGCACTGAGCAAGCGCACTGAGCCTGTCAGGGCGCTTGTTTCAAAGTGGCGAGAACAGGGTGAATTCACCATAGCCAACCCTGAGGGTAGTGTAGCGAAGTGCCCCTGAGTGGCGAATTACCCCTGAAGACTTCAGGGATCGTGGAGCGGCTTCATCCCTGAGCAGCGCTGAGGGAGATTGACAGTCTGTGTCAATCTCAGGAGGAAATAACCCCATCTGGGGCTATTTATAGTATCAACGGATCTCAGGTCCTATGGCGAGATTTTATCAGTTGGCGTTTTGGGGTGCCACAGGGTCAGATTCAGCGAATCTGACTAGAGGGAGTGAAGCGGTTTGGGATCCTGAAGAGGATCAACAAGATTGAAGAAGTTCTGTGCGTGGAACAGGGGGGATAAATTTATGGAAGAAATTGGCGAGATGAGAGTTTCAATCTGCCATAGCCAGATCTTCATCAACCTCTGCAAGATACTTTGAAAGTGAGTCCGTTCCATGCACCTACCTGTATAGCGATTCAGATAGGATTAGATTAGTTAGTAATTATGGTCTATCTGTCTGTCAGTGACTGGATGTGAAAATCGCAGACTGCATGACAACTATAACCATCTCTCCCCTACCTTCCTCTGCTCATTTCTAACCCTCTGGTGACTCTTTTGCATCCAAAATTGTTTTGTGACCGCCTTACAGTATTGAGCTGGATTTGGGATGCTCAGACTGTGAATTCTGCACTAGAAAAGTAGTGATACAGTGAATTGTAGTTTTGCGCTGAATCTATTTATAGCCTGTGCTAGTTAGGGTGAGTCATAACTCCAATTCTGACCGTCAAAATTTCGTTCTGTCAGTTCCCAGTGAATCGCAATCCAAAATTAGGCTATCCTGCAGAAGCGCTTGATTGGATTTCCAGTATGTCACTGGAAACAGTGAATACTGTACTTCGCCATACCCTAGGGTATGGCCACCAGAGTCGTCAGGGCTGAAAATTGAGTCTGAGCTAGGATATAGGGTCTCTAACTGAATTGCTCTGCTTGTTTGATCCTTCTTGTTTGTACTTGCCCTTTTCTTTCATTCTCACTGATTACTCTTGTTTTCTAGTGGGCTATGGAAATCTAGTGTTTCTCTGGAAGAGTAGTGGATTGTACCTACTAACTCCAGTGTGGTGCAGGGTCAGTAAAAGGAAATCGTGTGATTGATTTTGCTGGACTAACTGTCTATCTGACCCCTGACCCCAGAGAAACAGCTCCAACCCAAACTGTTTGTGCCTATCCACTCACCTGACTTCTCTGCATGAGACAACAGCGATTTGGAGCGCCTGAAGGGATCTGTATATCGCTGCATTCTCTCTGCTGTTTGTTTATTTTTGTGTGTTCTAAAAGCGGAAAATGGCTGATCAAGTCGCTCAGCAGCAGCCATAGGTGGAAGTAGTAATGAAGGTAGAGGGTGAGCAGCCTGCTACCTCCACTCTACTACTCCTCTGACTGCTACTCAGCGAAGGAAGAAGGAGTTTCAGGAAAGATTGCAGTAGGAACAGGCCCTGCTTGACGAGTTGGAGAGACAGGAGGCAGCCGAGCTAGAGGCTGCAACAGATGCTTCGCGAAAGGAGTATCTGTTGGAGCAACTAGGCAAGGCTCTGTCTGACGAACGTTGTGCACAGGTGACAAGGAATCTGGCGGAATGGGCCATTCTGGAACACAAAACCACCAGTTCCTATTTCACCAACTGGGATGACCGCATAGGTCGTCTGGAGCACAAGGTGGATGACCTGGCAGCTCAACAGTCCAAGACCCTGACAGCAATCCAAGATCTGACTGCTCAGCTGACAGCAGCCAAACTGATTGCTCCCCTGTCTCTTGTCCTCTCAGCGAAGCCCAAGCCTTCTCCTTCTCTTCCTTCAACCCCCTCTGGATCACGTCATTCTTCCCCTTCACCACCTCCTTCCCAAAAAGCCACAGCCCAACCATCTTATGCATCTGTTGCTGCAGGAGACCATAGAGGTCCCAAGATCCCAGCTCCCAACAAGTTCAGAGGGGATGACCCGAAGACCGATGTTGGGGACTGGGCTGCTGGGACCAAAGCCTACTTGAGGGGCTTTGTCTGTGCAGAACAGACTAAGGTGGCCACGATTCTGGGACTGCTGGAGGGACCCGCCTTGAAGTGGGCCACCTCAACTTCCAGCAGTCTGCAGCAGTCCATGGAGGACTGGGCTTTTGGGTTGGGGGTGGACAGACTTCTGCAGGCCCTAGAGGACCGCTTTGCAGACAATGAGCGGGCCCGCAAAGCTGCTGACAAGATTGCTCGCTTGGGGTAGCAACGCTACAACGGTACCCTGCAATCCTTGTTTGCAGAGTTCGAGCAACTTACCTCTACCCCTGGGTTGGTCATGTCTACTGATGATCTGCTGACCAACTTCTACAGGGCTGCGCCTGAGAAGTTTGCTGTGGCATTGTATAGCGCTGGGCACAAGGACTGGAGATCCTTTGGCCGCGCAACCCTGGACATGGAGGCCAAACTTCATGTCCGGGCCCCCTCCTCTGACAGGAGGAAAGGTGCCTTCCCTCGTGGTGGTAGAAAGGGAAAGGCAGCCTTTACACATGCAGGATCTGCGCCAGCTTCTGATTCAGATTCCCAGGCTGATACACCATCAGCTGGGACTGGACCAGCTGCTGAAACAGATGTTGCAGCGGCCCTGACTCAGGCTGTTTTGGGAGTCCTGCAGCAGCAGAAGAGATTCTCCCCCACCACAACCTTAGCCAGTGCAAAGGGGAAGGACAAGGGACGTCGGCCTTCCTCCTCCCAGCGCCCTAACCTGCCCAAAGGCGTCCATATGCCAGATGACCCACTCCATCCCTCCACTCTCCCCTGGCATGACCTCAAGATCCAGGAGGGAGTGTGGAGAAGAAGAAAGGAACGAGGGGTCTGCCTGAGGTGCGAGGGACAACACTTTTTAAAGGACTGCCCTTACATGCCAGGCCCAGGACAGTCAAAAAACTGAAACAGACCCTGGGGACTGCAGTTCCCCCCAGTGCTGCACCTTCATCTGCTCAAGTAGGTGAACCTGCAGCTGTTTCAGTTGAGACGGATTGTGTGAGTTTGGGGACTGCGCGGGCAGCATCCTTCTGTTATGAGGATCCTGACCCGGGGCAAGATGAGCTTCAGTCACTTGCTGCTTTCTTCCTTCATCTGAAGGAACAAAAGAAAAGCAAGTCTGACCTCATCCTACTTCGACCCCTGATCAACCACATCAGGATCAAAGGGCTGTTGGATTGTGGAGCCACCAAGAACTTTATATCTCCCAGTGCTGTTAAGAAACTGCATCTGGGGATGAAAGTTCAGCAGCTGCAACAACCTTTGCTGGTCAGAATAGGTGACTCCGCAGTGCTCACCATCAGGGAGAAGGTCCGGGGTATCCCCCTTACCTTCGACAACACTGGAGAAGTCAGACATAGTTTGAACTTCTACATATTCCCTGACCTACCCTTTGACCTGGTGTTCTCTATGCAGTGGTTGAAGGCAGTCAACCCAAGGATCGACTGGCAGATCCCAAAGGTTGAACTACCTAACAGACAGGGGGTGTACCAGCCATGCATGATTGCTGCTGATCATCACCCTAAGACTTCTTGCTACTGCCTGAGAGTGAGGGAGTTCTATTCTCTCTCGCGCCAGTATGACCATGAGTGTCTGTTCATAGCTCTGGTCAAGCAGACTGACGCTCCCCCTGTTTCCTGTCCTCCTTAGATACAACAGGTTGTGGATCAGTACACTGATCTGATGCAGGAGCCCTTTGGACTACCCAACCGACCAACCAAGCATCGCATCGAGCTACTACCTGGATCAGTCCCTCCTAAGGGACGAGTCTACAGGATGTCCCCTGCTGAGCTCGAGGAGCTCAGAAAGCAGCTTGAGACCCTTACCAACAAAGGCTGGATCAGACCCAACACTTCTGAATTCGGTGCACCGGTTCTCTTTGTGCCCAAAGGGAACGACGAGTTTAGAATGTGCATTGATTACAGGGGTCTCAACAAGATTACTAGGAAGAGTACAAAGCCACTTCCTAGGATCGATGACCTTCTAGATATGGTGCAGGGCTGCACAGTGTTCAGCAAAGTCGACCTCAAATCTGGATACCACCAGATTGAGATGGCAGAGGAGGATGTCTACAAGACAGCCTTCAAGACCAGGTATGGTACTTACGAGTTCCTGGTCATGCCATTTGGACTTTGCAAGGCCCCATGTACCTTCCAGACAGAGATGCACCGCATCTTCAGGCCTTACCTGAACAAATTCATGGTTGTCTACCTGGATGACATCCTGGTATTCAGCAGAACCGCCAGGGAACATGCGGAGCACTTGGCTTTGGTCCTTGAGTCGTTACGCGACAACCAGTATAAGATCAACAGGGAGAAGTCCTCTTTTGGAGTTCCCTCTGTCATCTATCTGGGTCATGTAATCTCTGGAGATGGCCTGGCTCCTGAAGGAGCCAAGATAACTGCTATTCAGGAGTGGTTCCAACCGCAGACAGTGAGGGATGTCAGGTCCTTCATGGGTTTGGCCTCATACCATAGAAAGTTTGTCATGAACTTTTCTGTAGTGGCTGCACCCCTGACCAACCTAACAAAGAAAGACACTCCTTTTCTTTGGTCCCTCCACTGTCAGTTGGCCTTCACATGACTCAAGAAGGCCTTGACTCGTGCGCCAGTGCTGAAGTTGCCTGACCCCACTTTGCCATTCATCCTGACCACTGACGCTAGTCAGTATGGCATTGGGGCAGTTCTTCAGCAGGATGATGGGAATGGCCTACGACCTGTAGAGTTTATGAGTAAGAAGATAAAAACTCAAAAGTTACAGGACTCCACCTACGAGAAAGAGCTATATGCTCTTGTCTGTGCCCTGAAACATTGGAAGCACTTTCTCTTGTGAAGACACTTCAAGATCTTCTCATATCACTCCACCTTACAGTGGATGAAGTCCCAGGGAGAGCTGAATGATAAGCTGGCACGGTACATTCAGTTCATAGACATGTTTGACTTTAAACTGAAACATAAGAAGGGCTACTACAACAAGGTAGCAGATGCCCTCTCTCGTAGGCCTGACTCTGTTGCATTGATCTCCTCTACTCACTCTTTTGGAGAGGAGACCCGTCAGACCATCGCTCATCTACTGCCTCAAGACCCGACTTTTAGACCCATGACATGGAATGGATTGAGGATGAGGGGGGCACAGGCCCCGATCGACAGTATCTTGTGAGGTTCACGTTCCAGCCTCCTTCTGAGAACAAATGGTTCTACAGAAGGGAACTTCTCAAGACAGCAAAGTCAGTTGTTCTACGATATGAAGCGGCTCAGAAGGGTAACCTTCCTTGCTGTTCACCTCGTCTGCATCCCTAGCTCGGAGGTCCTCGCTCCCCGGGGGGGTAAGCCTGCAATGACTTGCTGATTTCGACTGCCGAGACTAACCGCGAGGCTGTACAGTACAGCAGTAGGTTAGATTTGTAATTTTGTTTGGCTGAGGGCTAACCGAGAGACCTACCTGTAAGGAAAATTCGTGAGGGACATATCTGCAAATATGGGAAAATAGGCCCATCAGTACTTCGAATTTCCTACAGCTACCCTCACTGCGTTTAGCAGGCCGGGGCTACCCCTAGGACAGACAGGCCCTAAGGGCCTAAGCTGATAGACGGTCCTATAGCCTATAGCCGGGTCTGGTAGAGGCCGAGAGGCCGAAACAGAAACGGTTCCAGTCGGTCAGTCAGTCCGGTCTAGATCTAGGCTAGAGTAGTAGAAGTCTATTAATAGTTTAGGGGAATCGGTTTGGGACTTTTGGCAATTCATTTTGGCGATACAGCGCTTGGAGCCAGGAGAGTTTTGGAGCGGCGAATGTCTGCAGGCGGTACCCTGTGACCCTCACCGCGGACAGCAGCCATAGCCAGCCTGTTGGGGACTTGCCATAGCTGGGGGCATCCTCTGCGCATCAACCCCTGTGGGTTCCTGCGAGGGGCTGGGCTGTGTGGAGACTCTTCACTGAGTCCTTGTGGG